ATATAATAATATAATTGTGAAATATATAATTTTTATTTAGTAAAAATGTACACAATTCAAATAGAACATTATATTGTATTTATTCATAAAAAACTGGAATATTTTTGTACCAAAGTCGGATCCTTTCTGTAATAAAAAAAACATATATATATATAATCATTTTATAGGGCAAATAAAGTTTATTTGTATGATGACTTTAAAAAAATATCCTTTAAATCTACAGAAAAAAACACTTTTAAAAGAAACATGATTTTATGCATACAAATTTTTTTTGTCTTATCATAAAATCTCTTTGGAATGAATAATGTGTGTCGGTAATTTTTTTTATTTTTATAAATTGAGATCCTTCCCGAAAGGCTTCAAATTGTTAAAAAATATTCGTCTATATTTTTTGAATTTCTATCTTTTTTTCTATTTCAACGAGAAGCCATTGTCTATCAATTGAAGAGCTGTCAAAAGTGCACACGGCCGTGATAATATGTGTTACGACGACTTTAACTTGAAATATACATCAATCGACAGACCTTTCTTCTACCTATTTATAGATGCTTTAATCGCCATTAAATAAATAGAAAATATAAACTTCACGACAAAGTAAACAAGTCGATTTTTACTTTTGGCTCGAAAAAAAAGGACCAACCTATAACCATATTAATACCTAACAATAATAATAATAATTATAGTAATATAATAATACCTAATATCCACTAGTTACAATTAAACCTATGGGATGGACAATGCAGATGTTTATTTGCATCCCCAATCCAGCAACGCATGAAACCACAAAAACCTTTGCCCACGGATTCTGCCGCTGTAGTAAACATTATAATACATTTAATTTGTTGCAATATTAATTATTACATTAGAGAACTTTTAACGTTAAAACATTTTAAAATATATTACCAAGATATTTCACATGTCCAAGATAAATAATTTTTATAATAAATATAAACGCTCAATTATGTAAACGAAATTCATTGTTTTATTTAAATTAGATTATTGCGCAAACCTAATAAAATGATTATTAAAGTACTTCACGTTGAAAACTCTCAATTAAAGGAACATAGTAAAATGTGATGAAAACTCATACCTGATGATATAGTTTTCCCACATTTGACACAAACTAAAAACAATAATAAACCATTTTAGGTGTTCATTATATAATATTGATTAGATTATACTTGACATAAATGTATTTATTGACTTATTTACACATGGAAAATATCGATCAGAACAAATAGGTCTAAATACATTTGTTTCCAATATAATTATTAACTGGCTCTATATGATCTTGCGCAACATTTTCCGGTGTTTCATTAACAAATTATATAAAACAAATTATTATTTTCCAACGTTAAAATACAAATGGTTTTAGAGACATAATTCACTACGCGATTTACAATAACTTTGGTCAGGATAATACATTAAAAATTTAATAAATCTTTAAAATACGGCATGAAAAGAGGACTGCGGCTGACTAAAAAAAAAACTACTACATCCCACTGTCCCTGCTGTTTAATTTTTTCTATAGTAATTTTTATTAGTTACTTTCCACCAAATAAAAAAATGTCCACTAAAAAGTAAAAACTACTTTTAAAATAAATTATTTGATTAAAAACTGAAATCGTTTCACATAAGTCACTTGCTGAATATTTTAGTATATCATCAAAATATCACGTTAATTTAAGTACTGACAACGTTGTATAGTATCATTTGATTTCTACATTAGCGAAACTACTAAATCTATAGATTTAACTAACCTGCGTCTTCCGGCCGCTGACCATCCACATTAGCGTCATCTATTTTAAAAAATTATACAAACCGTATTATCGTTTGCTGACAGCTTTAAGTTTATGTCAAACGGTATTATGGTTTTTAAGATAAACTTTGTTATTTTAGTGCAGCTTATACATTAAAAAAAAAAAAAAATCTGTATTGAAGAATTAAAGACATACAGTGGGTAAAAAAAGTCTCCGTACACTGTTGTCAAATTTTTTCAAAAACATAAAATGATAATTTAAAAGTTGATTAACTTCATATTTTTAACACACTTTTATTCAGAAACATATTAATATTTGTTTTTAGAAAAATAGAGCATATATATTAATTAGTTTATTTTATACATATATATATGTACAACAACTTTGGAAAATAACAGCAAAAAAGTCTCCGTACATTTATTGATGTGTATGAATAACAGATAAAAATAGTACCGGAATAGGGAAAACCCGTATGGACTGAGAGTTCTACATATCAACGAGCATGTTATTATTGTTTTTGTAGCCATTAAGAACGATAGACATACGCTTAGTCCGTTTTATTCAATTCATATACATTGAACAATGGAGATACCAATTACTATTCGTAAATTAGTAGTTAAACTAAGAGAAGATGGTAATTCTCTCAGAAATATTGCACAAACAATAAATAAATCGCACTCGACTGTACAATATATTATAAACCGATACAACGAAACTGATTCTTTTGAAGATCGAAAACGTACTGGTCGTCCCCAAAAATTGAAATCACACCAAAAGAGGGCCATTCTAAGGACAATTGTGACGGAACCAAAAACCAGTGCACCTAAACTGGCTGGTATGATTAATACTGACTATAATGTAAAAGTTGTGCCTCAGACCATTCGTAATGTTATTAGAAACGCAGGATATAAAGGTTGTGTAGCTAGGAAAAAACCCTTTATCAGTCAAATAAATAAAAGGAAACGTTTAGATTTTGCGAAGGCACACATTCATAAAGGAAATGATTTTTGGAAATCTGTATTATTTAGTGACGAAAGCAAGTTTAATATTTTTGGTTCAGATGGGCGAGTTATGGTGTGGAGAAAACCTAATAAGCAGATGGATTGCAAAAATTTGTGCCCAACGGTAAAGCATGGGGGCGGTAATGTACTAGTTTGGGGTTGTATGAGCGCTGCAGGTGTTGGTAATTTGGTATTTATCGATGGTATTATGGATCAACATGTTTATTTAAACATTTTGAGAAATAACTTACATGCAAGTGCTGAAAAACTAAATATTGGCAATTCGTTTATATTCCAACAAGATAACGACCCAAAACATACCGCGAAAAAAGTTAAAGAATGGTTGTTATACCGAGTACCAAAACAACTTAACACACCTCCACAATCACCAGACATGAACCCTATAGAACATTTATGGGAGGAAATAGGTAGACGTCTTAAAAATTACCAAACTCGAAACAAAGAACAATTAAAAAATGCAATACTAGAAGTATGGAACAGTATTGATTCTACTGTTACGACAAAATTAGTAGAATTAATGGGAAAACGAATGCAATTACAATATATCATGTTAAAAATATTTATGTTATTTTGTACGGAGACTTTTTTTGCTGTTATTTTCCAAGGTTGTTGTATATATATACATGTATAAAATAAACTAATTAATATATATGCTCTATTTTTCTAAAAACAAATATTAATATGTTTCTGAATAAATGTGTGTTAAAAATATGAAGTTAATCAACTTTTAAATTATCATTTTACTCACCTTTGACCTCCGGCTTATCACCTATTCCAACATATTATAATACAAACAAATTACTTTTTGCTAATATCAGTGTATTGTCATTAGTATAAGAAAAAATCAAAATATGTGTAATTTTTATCATGTTTCAGTATTTATCTCGATTCATCATTTCATTGAAAAAATATCATTATACTTATCAAATATTATTTTAAGTTTTAATGGTGTGTAATACACTAAACATTTTCAAGACCTACAAAACTACGCGATAATGTTATACAATAAAGCTGTACAAATTTATAAGATATTTAAAAACAGCCAGTACAGTGGGGTCAGTGGTTTACAGGAATTTTTAAATCTGGAAGTGATAAAATCACTTTCGAATAAACGTTTTGATGCGAATCAATTGTTAGTAATTTTAAGCCAGTACAGTCCAAACCAAGCACAATTAAAACCAGCAATGTTAGAAAGTATTAATTTGAGATGCTGTATTTACAAATAGTCCTAAAACTACGCCTAAATCCCCCAAAAATTAAAATATAAAAATTTGTGATTTATAGAGTTGCTACTCAAAGGAATTGCTCCAGTGTTAAAAAAGTTACAGTGTATACAGACAAAAAAAAGGCCACATCATTGTAAAACCAATAGCATCTCTATGCTCCACATAGAAACTAAAATTTACATACAAATGACACGACTTTGACATTTTTTTGTTACTTACCACCTTGTGGATATGGCCGACCTTGTGTGACTAAACCAAAAATTAGGTATTAATATACAATTGTACTCGCATAAATAATTTTGTGAGTAGAATATAATTATGTGTAATAACTAGATACAAATTAACATTATTATTCTAGTGTTTGGTTAACTTTGGGTAGTCAGCCTGAGAATTTATCGCAAGAAAATACATATAAAAATTACCCAAAGAAGTTTCCAAAATAATGACAATCACAAAAAAAAAAAATAGCAATTTTGTGCATAATGTATTAAAAAACATTTGTTATTCCTAAAAAATCTGTAAAATTCTACGATAAAGAACCTCAAAATAAACAGTGAAACAAAACGTACGTAACATACATTGTTTAGCAAGTGTTATTTAGACCTTGTAGAAACAGTTGTGTTAAAGTATAACATAAAAGACAATTTTTTTTTTTTTTACAATAACAGTACAATACATATTGCAAATAAACATGTGAGATAGAGCCAACATTTTTTCAGCAATAGACAATTTCGGTTAACGTTCAAAATTTTATAAAATTATAATTATAATATTTGGTTCGTTTTGGATAATCATCAAATGTTTCCAAAAAAAAAAAAAACAATTATAAAAAAATTGCAATTTTTTGCATAATGTATTAAAGAACAATTGCTATTCTGAAAAAAATTGTTTAAAGTTGTACGATAGAAAATCTAAAAATTTACAGAGGAAAACTTAAATGATCATAACATACGGTTTTATTTAAGTATTACTCATAAGGCAATGTTATTTGTACAATAACAAAATCATAAATTTTTCTAAAAGTATGACACTCATGCAAAATAGACTATAGTTTCATAGTCTTACAATTATCAAAAAAAAATTTGCTACTTTAAACAAATCCTTAATACATATTTACAGATGTTATACCGTTTATATTTTGTAAATGAACAAAAATACAAATAATAATTACCCAAAGTAATTTCTAAGATAATGAGAATTGCATGTATTAAAGAACTTTTGTAATGTAGTAAATAATAATAGTATTAAATACAAATAAAACTTACCCAAAGATGTCATACAGACTACTATACAAAAAATGGCAATTTTTTTCATATTGTATGTATACAATTTTTTTTATTCTGAAAAAACTGTAAATTGTACGATCGAAAACCTCAAAATGCACAGAGGAGAACCTAAATGATCATAACATACATTATATTTTAGCAAGTGTTATTCAGATCATGTAGAAACAGTTGTACTAAAGTATGACGCAAACGGCAATGTTATTTGTCAATAACAAAACGATATATGTTTTTAAGACACCTGTGATACGGAGCGAAAATGTTGTTAGCAATAAACAATTTTGGTTATGTAGTGGAAAACTTTTAACATGTGTTATTCTTACTACGAAGAAGCAGTTTTATTAATTGTTGTTGTTGTCTAAAAAATCTGTAATGTTGTAAGATAAAGAACCTCAAGTTATACAGTGAAAAACTGTTTTGCTAAAGTATAACATAAAAGACTATGTTAGTTTTACACTAACAAAACAATACATATTTCAAAAATCATGTGAGGAGTTTCCAAGACAGTGATAGCTAAAAAAATAGCGATTTTCGCATTACGTATTGAAGAACTTTTGTTATTCTGTAAAAATCTGTAAAGTTGGACGAAAAATGTATAACAACATACATTATACATTATTTAGCAAGTGTTTCACCGTCTATATGGAAACAGTTTTATTAAAGTAGGCCGCAAAAAGCAAGGTTTTTTTGTAAAATAACAAACCAATTGACGTTTTTAAAAAACCATGTGTCATAAAGCAAACATTTCGTTTGCAATAAACATTTTTGTTGAACGTTCAAAATTACAACTCAACATTTTCCAAATATATTTCGACGAAAATTAGACGAATTGTCGAATATATTATTGTTTAGTGATACTGAAATCGATAAATTGATAAATTTGATAAATCATTGAAATATTAGGTTTGGTGATGATAACTCTGTTAAATATTTAAAAATTTAGAGAAAAAACAATAAATATCACGCACAAAACAATAACTGTCCACAAAATGGCAGCCGACTATAGGCAATACGCTTTCCATATATTGCTTAATTGTAATATAATAAACGAAAGAAACACTAAACGAAACATTAAGAGGTATAATCAATAAAAAACAAATCTCTTTAAATTTGCTATATATTCTTTGTTTATTGTAATCTAATAAAATTTTAGTTTTTTAATATTTTTTCACACTTTAATGATGATTATAGTGTAGAAACTGAAACATTTTCATGACTCCACGATATTATTCCTGCAATTGAAAAAAAGATATAATCACTCATAGCTCAAATAAAATGTATTTTCATAATGTCGACACAGTTAAAAATAAGTGAATTGTTTATTTGTGTAGGAATTAGCCAATTAAAACTAACATCAAAAACATTTTTATTTTTATTTAACGATAAAAATTATATTTGATAATTTTATATGCCAAATATTTGTATACATTTTTTTAGCTAAAACAATTTATACCAGAAATATACACTAGGTATTTATATGCTGGCTTTTATGTTTACAATCACGTGGAATCACACTAAGTTTAATAATATAAAATTAATAATACATAAATATTTACATCAATTGCATTTTCTCGTACTTCATACGAGTTTAGTTTAATATCCGTCAACCAGTCAGGGTAGGCTATTAAAACATGTATTCAAGTAATTTGATTATTTAAAAAAATATTTAAAATTACATAGAAAATTATTAATCAGAAAATGTAGGATTTGTTTTAAACTGTAATTGTTTATAGCTATTGTTTAATATAACATAAACGATAATTATTAATTGTTACAAGATTTTTCGATTTGGTAACCTTAAACATTTATCCAAAAAAGAAAAATTTTCTGAACATTTTGAAACAGTTTGGAATTTTTACTTTAATTTTTTTAGGGTTTAAAATATAGGATGGAAGATAAAGCGTGGTTGAGTAAGAAAAGCTATTACTACATTTCACATTTCTTGATATATTCATTAGTTTCCATACCCTCCCCCCCCCAAAAAAAAAAAAACGTTTCTGAGTAAAAACAGCTTTTAATTATTCTTCTTCTTCTTCTTCTTCTTTTTCGGTAAACTCGGCCACTAGGACCATCCCGACATACATCCTTGCCTCCAATTCCGAGGCTTGTTGTATGAATCCTGAACAAAAATCTTTTTACAAGACAGGGTCGTTGGCCCTGTGCCCAACCCCCCAACCTGGAGGACCAGAATACCACAACCAGCTTTTAATTATTAATCCATTAAAATTAAAAAGGATTCAAAAGTCACTTTCTTAAACATTTTAGTATATCATAAAAAAGTCAGGTTAGGTGTCTTTTGATTTCTACATTAGGTAAACTATTAAATCTACAGTCTTTACTGACCTTGTCCATGCTTCGGCGGCGGTCCACCAACTTGTGCGTTAACTAATCCAACAAATTTTACAAATCAAATTATTATTTGCTAACTTTAAATGTGCGTACTATAAATTATCTACTTTTAAAGATTCAATTTCTTATTTTGATACAGCTATCACATTGAAAAAGAATTACAAATTAATTGAAACATTACATGCAAATCTGGCCAAGCTCAATGCACCTCGCATACTGCAGTAACTCATACAGTGACAATAACTTTTAAAATAAATATAAATATACTCTTTATACACTTACAAACGTCAAATCTCGAGCTTGTTCTTACAGTAAAAGTTTAGTAAACATTAGAATAGGTTTCTACACTGTTTTATCTTCTTTTAATAACAATTTTTTTTTAATAAAACTTATAAAAACATTCCTACGTCCTAAATTTACTGTGATACAATTTATTTTTTACTAATATATATTTTCATCAATAATATGTATACTTTGTTTACGTACCGTTAATTGACAGTTGTAACTTACCTTGTGAGCTTGATGCACCTTGTGAGTGCAAACATAAATAACAAAATTGGGTATCAATATTAATTCGTAGTCGCATACAAAAGTGTGTGTGAATTGACAAAATAACTTTATAATACATTCAAGTTAACTTTTATCAATACAATTGGTCATTTAATAGATACCTTAAATTTATGGCATAAAAAATTACTTAAGAGTTATAACTTCATGATGTATAGACTATAGTGTTTTAGGAATATTATTAGCACCTCTGATGTGTTTGCAGGTGGTTTTAACTTATAAGTGTTAGAAAAAGGTTCGACGAAATAACTATTTTTAAAACATATAATGATTGAAGTCTACATTAGGTAAACTATTAAATTTACAGTCTTTACTGACCTTGTCCATGCTTCGGCGGCCCATCATCCACATTAACGTCACCTAATACCAAAAATTCAATAAATGCATTAGTTATTAATGTATGCTAACTTTAAAACGGCTTAAAAGTTCGAAGAAAAACAATAACTAAATAGGTTTAAATAAGAACCATGTTGTACATTTTTAGAGAAACATTTGTTGCAGCTTTTACATTAAAAAATCAATCAATTTAAATTGCATACAAAAAAAAATAAAGTTTAAAATATGATTGTATGCTTATCTCGAGCTTAGTGATACAGTAATCGCTTGGTATATAATAGAGTAAGTTTTTACCCTATTCTAATAATAATTTAAACACTTTTTACATCTTTAATTCCCTGATGTCAAAATTTTTTTCAGAAATGTATATTTTAACCAATTATCAATATAATTCTATGTAATAAGCAATTCTAAATCAATAATAATTAATAATTGTAACCGGGACTATTAGGTATTGTATTTCATTATATCATCAAAAAACCATGTTAGCTACTACCCTATCGTGCCTTTTGATTTTATAAATTGAGTAGGTATCATTTTTAGTACTAATCTTGTACATCTTTTCATTAAAAACAATTGTTTTTAATTTATGATTGCCATTTTAAATTGCAATATATTATACTGAGTCAAAGTTCAGAAAATCTTTTTTGATAAAATTGACATGTCATAATAATCTTATTGATAGTCTGGTTATCGAAAAGGCCGAACTCTCAGCAAATTATTCTTATTAAAATTGCTATCTTGAATTCTATCTAAATCTAATTCAACTATTGCTATCTAAAAAAAAATTTAACCCAAAAAATTATTTAAAACGGCAAAAAAGTAAAGTGGTATAAAAACCATGTCGAAAGAATCTTGTTGATAGTCTATAGTTAACCTTTTAAAAGTAAAAAGCTTATTAAAAAAAAAATCATTATATTTATCGAATATTTTGTTGAGTTATGGTGCTGTGTAATACACTAAAAACAAATTTATAATGAATGTAATCTTTAAGCGTATTCTAGTTCAAGGCCTATAAAGCTATGCGATAATGTTACACAATACATCTGTACAAATGCGTAGGATAAATTAAAAAAATATATACACACAAATTTCGGTAAAATAAATGACGTGACGTTAAAATTTGTTTGTTACTTACCTGGATTTTCAGGACCTTGTGTGACTAAACAAACAATTAGGTATTAATATAAATTTATGCTCACCCAAAGAAATTTCCAAAATAATGACAATAACAAAAAAAAAATTGCGTTTTTTTGCATAATGTATTAAAGAACATTTGTTATTCATAAAAAAATCTGTAAACTTCTACGATAAAGAACCTCAAAATAAACCGTGAAACAAAACGTACGTAACATACATTGTTTAGCAAGTGTTATTTAGACCCTGTAGAAACAGTTATATTAAAGTATAACATAGAAGACAATTTTTTTTTTTACAATAACAATACAATACATATTGCAAATAAACATGTAAGATGGAGCCAATATTTTGTTAGCAATAAACAATATATTTCGGTTAACGTTGAAAATTACAACTCAACATACTTCAAATATTTTTCGAAAAAATGTATTCGAAAATATGTTGAGTATATTATTATACTGAGCTTCAAGACAGAAAATAATTGCTGATTAAATTTACACGACTAAAAAATTGTATTGATACTATATTTATCATTAACTCTCAAAGTGTTGATGTATCATTCTTCATGTAGTGGAAAACATTTAGGAAGTATTAAGCTTACTATGTAGAAACAGTTTTATCAAATGATGACTTTGAAGAAGTAACTTTGCTTAAAATTGTTTTTAAAAATCTTTGGTTTGAAATTTGGTAAAATATAAAATTTTATAAAATACTTCTTAGTGTTTCCCCGGGGAAACTCTTACTTCACCGGTTTAGCGAACCCGGGGCCCCGAGCTGTGGCACGCCTACCACCCTATACAACATAATGTATAGCAATAGCCCAACTCTGACCTTAAGTGGTTAAGGTAGTCTGGTCCTCCAGGTGGCGAGTTTAGCGCAGGGCTAACGACCCTGCCTAGTAAAAACTCATTGTTCAGGAACTAATAAACATGCCTCGGATACGTGGAGTTTTGGATAATCAGACAGGAAATTGGAAAAATGGCTTACTTTTTGGAACATGGAATGCACGTACTGTTTTTTAAACCTGAAGCTGCCCAAAACATTGTTAAGGAAATACAGAAGTACAAGTTGAAAATAGTGGCTCTACAAGATATTAAATGAGAGGATACTGACATGCTAGATATCCAAGAAACAACAATATTCCAAGGTAACTGTAATGAACAAACCCAATTTGAAACTGGGTTTGCAGTACACAATAACTCTTAATACCAAATATAAGAGATTCCAATGAAATCAATCCAAGAATTTCAATGCTGACAATAAAGGCACAACTTTTTTCAACACAACTTTTATAAATGTGCATTCTCCTTCGGAAGATAAACCACAGGAAGAGAAGGACGATTTCTATGATTGCGTGGACTCAACACTAGATGCTGTAACGAGCCTGCTCGCCTAGGGGCTAATCCTAGACCGAACGGTCGCCGATGGGATCGAATAAGTGGATCTCGGCTTGAGAACGCGAAGCTACCCCGTGTCTAAACTTAAGTAGTCCCCTTTATATATTTATATGCACCGCACGAGGGGCTAAACGGGCGGTTGTGCCTTTGAATGACGTAACTCCGAAGTATGCAACTATAACTATCTATTTGTAAGGTAAAACTAACTATACAATATATATACAATACACTTCTACCTGGGTCCCTGAGATTGTTAGCTGGTCCTGTAGAAGTGGAGTCGAGCGAACACACACGATGCGGGATGGTAATAGGCGGCGTTAAAGCGTGGTAAAGTGCGTAAGTCGGATGAGGGCAAAAATGGTCGTTAATCGCGGTTCGAGGATGGTCAAGTCTCAACTGATCGTTGAGGTCAGCGCGGAGGCTATTGTTCTGTATGTTCGCTGTCTCCCCTACCTATTGTCTTATTGATAGATGTCCGATAAGCGTGTTTTAGGACGAGTGGTAACGGGTTGTCAAGTGTCCCCGTTACAATGCATTACCGAAATACAGAATAACAATAGTCTTGGGTGACCTAAACGCAAAAGTTGGTAAAGAGGCTATATTCAGATCAATGATTGGTAACCATAGCCTTCACGAAACC